AACACAAGCCAGCCCCAACCATCAGGAAAGGGTTAAGGGCGGCTTGGCTGCAGGTACCAGAGGCATGATAACAGGCTGGAAATATTCAGAGGGCGTGAACGGCAAGAAGGGCGAGAGATGAAACCGCGGAGGAATTACAGTAAAGAGGCTCCCTCGCTCGCTCGCACTCTGGCTGAAGGTTTTTGGGCTGATGTCAAGGCCGATTTCCTGACAGCGGGGTCAGCCCGGCTTCGGCGCCGCTCTCCCAGGCCCTCCTCGTTGGATGGGATGCTGCAGATGAGCTTTAGGCCAGGATGAGCCGGCTGGGAGGGGACTGGGGCCAAGGCAGGGGCCAAACCCTCCACCCAGAGGGGTCTTGCAATGCATCTATAATGGGGAGGATGTTGGGGTGACCCAAAACCCCCCATGTCCCCTCTCTGCACCAAATCCTGGCACGCCGGAGCTGCGGGCTCGCCGGAGCTGCGGGCTGGGGCAGAGGCATCCCCTGCCTTGGGAGAGTTGCTGGACAGCTGGATGCTCCAGGCTTGCAAATCTGGCGTAGCCTCCGGAAGGGGAAACTGAGGCAGAACGAGATGATCTGGATGCATCAATGTGCAAGCAGGGGAGGAAGCTGCTCCGAGTGTCTGGGACGGGGCAGCTCACCCTGGTGCCAGCTCTTGGCTGAATGTGGGGCTGGTGCGGAGCAGGGACTGGGGACAATCTGGGGAAGGACACAGCGGCTTTTGGGAAGGGGTCCATGAGTCGACCAGCGGGGACAGGGCAGGCAGAGCTGGGCACCAGGGTGGTAAATGCAGAGGAAATCACTGCACGGTGCTGTCCCAGCTACAGGCATCGCTGGCATCCCCGCTGTACCCGGCCGACTGCTGGGGACATGGGCCTTGGCTGCATGGGGACAGCCCTCCAGAGTGGGGGACAGTGATGTCTGGAGCCCCCACAGCACCCATCGCCCCCCAGCCCAGCTCAGGGATGAAGGCTCCTGCTCGGGGGAAGCTGAGGACGTCGGCACAGCGGGGACAGGAGCACCAGGGGCTCCCCGTGGGGATGGAGGAAGGGACGGATCCGCCCCTGCACCGCTGCCACCCGGCCTCACAGCCTGGGGACCCCGAGCAGCCACCGCCACCCCCCTCAGGATGCTCAATGGGGGCCATTCTTCTGCCTCCCCCCCACCGCCGGCTCGTGCCGCCCGGGGAAGGAGCCGCTGCGGGTGCCAGGGGCCGGGGTGGCAGCGAGGCCGACACGGGACCAGGATGCGGCGCTGCCCTGGGTGCAAAGGGCAGCGCGTGGCGGGGACACGGTCTTATTTACACAGTGACGGGGCCAACTGGGAGCCCCGGCTGCCAAGCTCGGCCACCAAAGGTGCCGGCAGCCTCTGCCAGGCCACCCTGCCCCCGGGCGACACAGGCGCAGCACCCAGCTCCGACCACCAAGGGCTGGATCCGACCTTCCAGCCCACTCCACAGACCTCGGGCTCTGCCTCCTCAGCCCCCGTGAGGGCTCCCCAACAACCTCCAGTGGGATGCGGGGGGGGGGCTCAGCCCTGTGCCCCCCAGCATGAGACACACGACAGTGGTCACGACTCCCAGTTCTCAGCTACTGCTCGCTGGAACTTTACTAAGCAAACCCCACAGAGACCCTCCGCCATTCCCAGGGGATGCCTCTCCCCCCATCCCTGTCCCCCCCAACCGCAGCCTCTCCGAGCAGCCAAACAAAATTCCTGATGCTTCCTCCTGGCTGGGGCTGCCTCCCCCCTTCCCGGCTGAGAGGAAGATCCGTGGCGGTGGCCAGCACGTGCTGGCAAGGACCGGGATGCTCCACGCTGTGTCCCCAGATTTCCAGCCTGGGGACACCCATCCCATTGCCCCCCGGGGATCCCGACAGCCCCGGCACCTGGGGCCCCGCGCTCCCCGCCAGCCCTGGCTCCCCTTCAAAGCCATTCCTTCGCTAAGAGGAGTTGGCAAAAGCCACAGGACCAGCTGGAAACCGCCTTTATTCTAGGCGGGAGAAGGGGGGACGAAGGCACCCCACCACCTCCGCCCTTCCCGCAAACGCTGCCGGGGATTTTGGGGGGAAGCTAAAAATACTCCCCTGGCTTTAATCACAGGGGGAACCCCCCAGGGACTCCACATCACATCAGGGCTGGCTCCAGCGTAGGGACTCGATAGCAGCTGGAGCCGCGGGGCTGATGCTCTGCCTGGCCCGGGGGGGGATGCCCGGGCCCTGGGGGTTCACCTGGAGCTGGAGAAAAAGCCTTTAAAGGATAATTTTACCCGTTTCTGCAGGCTTTGGCACTGAAAAAGCGCACGCTGGGGCTGCTCGGAGGATACAAACGGCCACCCTGACCCGGGGGTCCCAAAGCACCCACTCAGCGTGATTGCCAGCGCAAGCCATGCCGTACCCCTGGGGGGGGGGGCTCGGGGCGAAGGGGGGGGGACCCCGATAAATCGAAGCCCAAAGAAGGGATGAGCCCCCCCAGGGTGGGAACTGGGTGCTGGAGCAGCACCTATGGGTCCCAGCGGTTGCCCCGATGCAGGGGGGGGGTGGGGGTGGGGGGGGTGTACCCAGGAGGGGAACGCAGCCCGACACCCCCCCCACACACACATACACACACACACACCCCCCCGCCAGCCCCGCTCACCTCCTCCAGAGCCCCCACCGCCCCCCGGCACTTCTGCATTTTGGGGGCGAAGACGGCGGCGGCGGGGGAGCTGAGGTCCTCGCCGGTCACGGCCAAAAACTCGGCCACGCTGAGCTGCTCGGGCATGGTGGGGGAGCGCAGCGGGAGCCCCCCGGGGGTGCCGGCGAGGCCCGGCTCAGCACCCCATGCCCCGCACCGGGACCGCCGCGCCCCGCCGGGGAGATCCGCCCCCCCCCCCCCGCCCGCCCCCGTCACGTGAGCGGCCCCGCCCGCCCGTTAAAGGCGAAGCGCCCCCGGAGCTTTCCCCCCCCCCCCCCCGCCAGAATAAACGCGGACACCGGGGGCTTGGAGTGGGGGGGTGTAGGGTGCGGCGGCGAGAGGAAGGGAAAAAACTCCCCCCCCGCACCCCAGGGAGGGGCCGTCGAGCACCCCGAGGTGGGAGCGGGGTGAGGGGGGGGGGGGGCCGGGAGCGGGGTCGCACCCAAAACCCAGTTTAGGCACACAAGTAGCGCAGGGATTGAGGTTAAACCCAGTCCCCCCAGAGAACTGGTTTAGCTGGAGGCTGCCCCCACCCTGCCCTTCCTCGCACCCAGAGGGGACGATCCCTCCTCGGGCAGGGAGCGATCCCCGGAGCCCTGGGCTGTTCCCCTGTCCCACCGGAGGGGACCCCTGCAGCCACCCGTCCCACCACTCGCGGGCCCGAGGAGCTGGATTTCAGTGCCCCGTTCCCTGGTTATTGGCTCTTCCCGGAGGGTGGGGGAGCCCCGACACCCCGCGGGCAGGCACCAGGGCCGGGCACTCGCCGTGGGGATGGGGCCGGTGGCAAACTGGAAACAAGGGGACAAAAAGCCTCAGGTGTGCTCTGCGGGGCTGGTTTGCCATGAGAGAGGGTGACATGGGCATGAGGTTGCTTTCCACAACCCCCCCCCCCCCAAGCCCGTCTCTCCTGCACCCCTCACCCAGGGTAGATTAGGGGGTGACAGACCCCTGTCCCCTTTTATTGAGCCTGAAGTAGGGCTCAGTAAAACTCAGGTTTGTGACTAACCAGAGAGAGCTGGTCCGAGCCTTGCTCTAACCCACTGTTTCTGAGGTGCTGGGGAGGGGACAAGGGACCCAGGAACAGAAGTTGCAGGCCATAGGGTGAACAGTTGCACCTTAAAGATTCGATCCTTCAGGCACCGACAAGCAGAGGTGCCCATGCTTTGGCCTTGGGGTGCAGTCTGCCCACCCCAATTTGGGGGAGGCCCAGCACCCACCGAGGTCCTGGTACATCTTCTTTGGCAGGGCTCTGGCAGACACAGGGTTAAGAGGCTGCAACCCAGGCAGGATGGGAACAGGAGGAATTTGCAGGTTCCCAATGGGTAAGAGCCCCCCAGCAGACAGGCACCCCCAAAGCCTCCGTTGGGGGACACAGCAGAGCAGCCATAGGGGCAACCCAGGGTACAGGCTTACAGTGGCACCGGCCGGGCTTGAAAAGACACCCTCACCCCACTCCCAAAACTTGCAGCCCCTCCGGGCAGGGCTGAGACCCCCCAGACCCCCCACTTCTCCCGGGTGTACCGCGGGGTCCCTCCAGGCGTGGGGCTGGGGACAGCCCCTTTATTGGGGTGGCCCTGCCACCTCCTGGCCGGCCTGGGGACTGCGGGGGGGGGCGACATGCCTTGGGGACACCCCCCAGCTGCTCCGAGACATCCCCGGTGGATGGGGGCAGGACCGTGGCTACAGCACTCTGCCCTTCACCCGACTTACCTGGGCCGGGGCTCTCCTTCCTCCTCCTCCTCCTCTTCTTCCTCCACCCCACCAGACAAGCAATGCAACACCAAAACATACCGTGACCCCAGGCTCCACCAGCCATCACCAGGTACCACCAGCCATCACTGGTACCATCGAGCATCACCAGCCATCACCACACCACCAGCACTCTTGGCGTCACCAGGTCACGGCATGACTTGGCAGGGGTAGATGTCGTGGGGCAGCACCCTGCGGAAGGCACGGCCCCACCAGGGGCTCACCCTGCAGCCTCCAAACCTGCCCCCAAATCCAGGTGCACAAGCCCATCCCAGTCCCAGGACCCGGGGTGCCCCAGCCCCCAGGCTTCTCCCACACTCCTGGTCCAAGGGGCTTATGCTCAGACCAGATGGGTTTGGGCTGGAAATCACTGATCCGCAGCAGGTCAGACCCATTTCCCTCACTCCACAGCTTCATCTCAACCCCCTTCTCCACCAGCTCCTCTGGAGCAGGCTGGTCAGTTACAAGGCCCCAAAACAGGCTTTTTTGCACTGAAAACAGGAGCAAAACCAGCCCAACACCTCCTTACTCCTAAGCCACCCCAACATTTTGCTGCTTAGAGGAAAACAGCCCCTTATAACTCCAAAGTTTTATTTTATTTCATCCCCTTCCGGGCAGAAAACATCAAGTGCCACAAGTTTTTCCACGCCAAAACACACTCACCCACACCGCCTCCGAGCTAAACCGCAGGAGAACCAACCCAAGGGAGGACAACTTAAATACACTCGCTTAAAAATCAAAATACCAACCCGACCCTCACCAGCACCGTGCCGAAAGGGGGGTCCTGTATAAATACAGTGCAATAATTACATATATTTTGCCATGGCACAATTAGAAGCCGTATCCAGCCCCGTGTCTGGGGGCTTGTCCCATGCTGCTTCCCAAGCCCCTCTCTGCAGGTGATGCTCCAGCCACCAGTATATAGCATTCCTCCCAGTACACTCCAGTTTCAATACCCCCAGCACCAACAGCTCCAAGAGGCTGGAGGGAGCTGGTACGGACTGGGGGAGAGGGGCTGCACGCCCCAGGGAAATACAGCTCCATGTCCCGGCCAGGGATTTGCCTGAGCTGCTGATTTTGGAGGCTGTAGGTGCAGTGCCTGCACATGAGCTTCATCCTCTCTTCACCTGAAGGTGACCTCAGATTTGCTGCCTGATTATTTTTTTTTTTTTAAGGATATTCTAGCTGCAGCGTGGGGAAACACTGCTCAAAACAACCTATCATGACCCCAAAGAACCAGTCTAACTGGGCAGCAACTGGAGTGGCTCCAAAACATGACACCCCCCCCCCCCGCATGGCCCATGCTGGGCAGGGGTTTCTCTGTCCCCCAAGTGCGTGCCCCTAACCCACCCTGTGCACCCAAAGGCACCCCCAGTCCACCAGCAGCCCCCAAGGTGGCGGGGGGTTATGGTGGGGAGCATCAGTGCTGGCACCCCACAGTTTTATGGCCAGTGCTGGGATGGGACCCCCTGGTTCCCAGAGGTTTCCACCTCTCCAGGGCACTCCTGGAGCCCAATGAGGTGACAAACACAACCCCCAGGTGACAACCAACCCAGGTCAGCAAGGAGAAGCCACCCAGGGCGGCCAACAGAAGCCCACCACCACCCCCCCCCCTCAGAAAACCCAGCACTCCCTGACCCATCCCACACTCTCCAGCCACCCCGCAGAGACCCCACGCGCTCATGACACAAGTGACCAGAGGGGACAAAGACAACGGGGATTGGGGGGCTCAGGGCTTCAGCAGGTCCCCCAGGTCGTACGCTTCAAAGAGGTCACTGACGCCCTCACCCTCCAGCCCCCAGAGATAGTCGTCCTGTTCCAGGGGGGGTGAGAAGGTGACGAAGGGTCCCGAGTCCAGGTGGGAGGGGGTGCAGGGCAACTGGTCCTCCGTCTGCTGCAGGAGGTGTGGGGGTGAGCCCAGGAGCCCGGCCTCCATCTCCAGTAGCGAGCTGGGCCCCCCCGGGACAGTGAGAGGCAGAGATGAGGGTGAGGAGGGGGTTCCCATGCCCCCCCAGCTCTGAGGGATGGCGTGGGGAGGTTGTGGGGCTGGCCCAGGGCTGCTTGGCGGGGAAGGGGATATGGCGTGGTCCTGTGGGGAGGTGGCAGCAGAGGGGACACCATGGTCCTTGGTGGGGCTCTCCTCCGTGATCTCCTCCGGGCAGAGGTACACCTCGATGGGGCCGTTGGTGCTCTTCAAGTGGAGCTGGAGGTTGTCCTGGGGGGGGCAGAGCAAGGCTCAGGGGGGCACCCATATCTCACCCCACTGACCCCAACCCACCTGGGGTTCAGGCAGGGCACTGCAACATCTAAAGGACCAGCTCAGGGTCAAACAGCCCCACAAAACACCCCAAAGCCACCCAGGGCCATGCTGGGCTGCACCCTTGGGACTCCCCAGACGAACCCATCAAGGATGGCACAGATGCAGCAGCACCCACAGCAGCACCCCGGACCCCGACCCCGCCGCAGGGGGAGGGGGAAGGCGCCAGTCCAGGCCCTCCACACACCTCGCTGAAGTCGGGCACCTCCAGTTGCGTCTCCGGGGGAGCCTTCACGGCGATCACCGTCTGCTCCTGGAAGTCGCTGATGGCGCGGAGGTCCTGGTAGGTGACGTAAGCCAGCGTGGACGGGGACAAGGTATAGGAAAAAAGAGGGGCTGCAAGGGGGACGGCTCAACCCCCCCATCCCAGCAGCAGCCTCTGAACATTGGGGTCAGCCTCCCTCCCCTGCCCACGGTGGGGCTGAAAGCCAGTTGGAGGAGAAGGGGCTCAGAGGGGTCCCCCGAGACTCCGTCCCCTGTCCCCAAGACCCTTTCCCCCCCTCCCCACCTCCCCCAGCAAGGATATCTCTGGTTGGCTTTGTCGTCGGCCAGCTGCCGGAGCTGCTGGGCACAGTCCTGCAGGAGCTGGTCCAGCGTCCTCTCCGTCCTGGCCAGTTCGGCCAGCTCTCCCCGCAGCGCCTGCTGCTTCGCCGTCACCGTCGCGTCCTCAAAGATCCCCGTCCCCCTGCCAGCAGAGATGGCACCCGAGTGACAGCCCACCCTACACGTCCCCGAGCCACTTGTCCCTCCACCCTGCCCTGTCCCCATGTCCCACGTCCATCGTCCATCCCCCCCCCCCCCGGCGTCACTCACATCCACTGGATGTTGTTCTTGGACTTCTTGCGGATGAGCTGGATGCCCTCCAGCACGTTGGTGATGTCGTAGATGCGACGTTTCTGCACCTCCAGCACCTCGGCCGCCCGGTTGAGATCCACGACGCCGTCGGGTGACTCATTCAGCAAACGGATGAATTTTTTGGTGAGCAGCCCCAGCGAGGTGTCGTAGCGAGTCTTCTCCCCAGGAGACTTGGGGGCTGTGAGGAAACGAGACACCCCCCACCCCATCCTCTCCTTAGTGTGGGACGTGGGATGGAGGTGACAAGGGGCTGGACGCGCTGGGGACATTAAACACTGTACAATCCCTAACCTGGTGGAAAAATAACCCAGAAATAACCCCCCCCAGGGAATTTTCTGCCAGCACAGTGAGTTGAATCAGCTCAAAGAGCTGCCGAACAACAGCAAGAAGGGAACTGAGGAGTGGGCACTGCTCCCATGGTGTCACCTCGGGTCACTTTAGGTGGTACTAGAGGGGACATTGCAGCAGCTCTAAGAGGAGAGACAAATGGGGTCTGTCCCCCTCCCAGCCCCCCCCACCCCGTCTCACCCAGCACCACTTACTCCTGGGGCTGGGGACCTGCGCCAGCGTCCTGCCCTTCCCCTTGGGTGTGCGAAATTCGGGGCCTTCCAGGTCCAGTTTCCTCTTGGCCTGGAGCAGGAGAGAAAACCCCATGTCAGGGCCGAGTCAGACACCCCCCTTGAGCCCCCCGAGGGCATCGGCAGAGCCCTGGGTGCCACAGCCCAGGGAGGTGGGGTGGGGTGGATCTCGCAAGAGGTTCATCCAGTTGCAAAACCCTCTCTGGGAAGGGCTCCCGCAGCACCCAGCAGGGCGAAGGGCCACTGGGAGAACTGGGTGGGGAGGAGATGGGGGGTCCGGGCACCCCCCTGTGGCTTCCTGCCCACTTCCTCCCCAGCGTCCCAGCCCACCCCAGCGCTCCCCTGGCACCCGCGGGGAACCTACTGGGATTTCCCCTCGCCCCCAGCTCCTGGCATGGGTCCGTGGGGCCGAGCCCTGGGAACGGCGGCAGCTCCGAGGTCGGATCTTCACCCTCCCACCCTGCCAGCTGGTTTGTTGGGGTGCGGGGTTTCACACACACACACCCACCCCCCTCCTGGCTACGGTTGGAGGCAGCCGAGGGCACCCAGCTGCCACCAGCACACCTGGGACTGGTGGGGCTCAGCCCTCCCCCGGGACCCGTGCACCCAGCTGGAGGGAAACTGGGGCAAGGCAGGGGGGGTGGGGGGGTTGAGGAATGAGACAGGGGGGCTGCTGGGTCCTGGGACCAGGGACACCTCCCCACATACACCATCCCCTCGCCTGGGCAAGCAGCTTCTTGAAATTGGCCCCAAGGAACACACACACACACACACCCAGCATCACTGCAGGAGAAGAGACCCAGAGAATGGGGAGGGGGGTGCAGCAGAGCAGATGCCGACAGGAGCTGTGGGGGTGTCACCAAACCACCCTCCCAACACACGCAAATCCCTCAGGATCCCCACCACCACCACCCATCTCCCCAAATAGGAGCAGGGGGACTTCAGGGGGACACTTAAGCTCAGCAGCAAAAAGCAGCCCCCCAGCCCCATCCCGTAGCCCCCCCCCAAATACCTGCTCCCAGGCCGGGCTGTCCCATAGGGTGCCCCCCAGCACGTCCCGCATGGTGCCAAGGTCCCTGTGCCGGCTCAGCACGGCTCTGACAGCAGCTCCTTGGGGAGCACACCCCACTTTGCGGGGAAGGGTTGGGCACCTCGGCAACGTTCCCACCCAAGGGGGCTGGCGGGAGAGGCGCCGGGGGCTGTTTTCCGCCCCCCCAGGGAGCCAGGTTGGTCCCGAGCTCCTGTGGGAATCTGTTCCCTCCCTCCCTTCCCCGAGCAGGTTTTCCCCAGCGAACGCGCCTCCATCCCCGGCCCCGCGCCCCCGGATCTGCCCCCGAGCTGCCGGCACCCCAACGGTTAACGCCGAGCGCATGGGAAACACCTGCCCCGGATCAGACCCCATGCATCTGCCAGCACGATTTGGGACGAGGCGGGGGGCACCCTCCTGGCCCCCCTTCTGCTGGCACCCAAACCCTTGCTTCCCTGGACACCGATGGCTGTGGCCACCAGTGTGTTCCCATTGCTGATGGGGGGGCGGGGGGGGGGGGATCAGCTGCACCCCATCTGCCCAAGCAATGGGGAAACTGAGGCGCAGAAGCAACCTACAACAGGTCCTGGTGTCCCCGGCCACCTCTGACGCCCCCAGGGCCACAGCCACCAAGGTGGTCTCCCCTCCCCATGCACAGGAGGGGAGAAAGTGGGACCCCTGGCTCCCCCACACGCAGTTTGGGGCAGGGGAGGGAGGGGGGAGCTCAGTGGGCTCAGGCAGGGGCAGGACCCCACAGTGCTGGGACACACCAGCAAGGGACAATGGACAAGGGGGTCCCTCCTGTGCCCCAGCTGCTGCCCCCCCCCCGCCTCAGCCAGGCAGGATTAGGCACACAACAGCTGAGCGGGGGCACAGTGAGGGGCTCCCAGTACCCTGCCAGGACTGGGGAGGGGGGAGAGCTGGGATGAACCAGAGCAGATGGGGGGGGGCAAGGACCAAACCCCAAGGGCACAGCAGGACCCCCCCCCACGCCACTCACCAGCCCCCAACCGCTGCTTCCCACGATGTGGGGGCTCGCACCTACACCCCCGATATGATGCTAGGGATGGGAGAGGAGGCTCGACCTTTCCCTGGGGCAAGGGCAGGAGCCTGCTGGGGAGGAGGGGGGTGGTAAAGCAGTGGGGGGGGGCAGGCCAGGCCCCCTGCCAGCTCTGCCTGCCAAGCAGCCCTCGGCCCAGCCCTGGCGCCAGGGGCTACACCCTGCGCCCAGCCCAAGCATCAGAGCAGCCCTCTCCCCCCCGGGGGGGCCATGGCGGGCTCCTCCTGCCAACGTTTCCTTTCAAGAGCACCCGCTGCCTTCTCCGGGCTTGCCTGGGCCTTCCCCGGGCCCTTTTGGCCCCCCCCGGGGCGTGGGAATGCACCGCCCGGGGGATGGGCTCCCGGAGCTGGCGGGGGGGGGGGGGGGGGGGATGTTGGGGCAGGGAGGGGCACAGGGCACCCCGGGATTGTGCCACCACACCAGGGATGCTGCTCATGCCAAGGGGCTACTGGATCAGGGCCCCCAGGGTGTGGTGTGTCCTCCCCCACCTTTGAGATGGCTGAGGGATAGTGAGGCACGGAGAGGGGGGACAGGGGGATGCAGAACCTCCAGGTTTGGGGGGTCAGGGGGGCTTTCAGCCCCACCGTGGGCAGGGGAGGGAGGCTGACCCCAGCCCTGGCCCCGGGATGGGGAGAGCACCCTGCGCTGGGGAGGAAGGCGGTACCCACCCCCCCAGGTACCACTCCCCACGCCGAGATGCAGCCAGCATCTCCATCCCCTCCCACAGCCCCATCCCAGTGCGGATGGAGGGGAAAGGCCCGGCCAGAGACATTTCCCAGCAGAGGAGCTGGAGGCTGTAAAAGCCAGAGCCAGAAAAAGTCCCTCCAAGGGTGACAGGACGCTCACCACCTTCCAACCCCATCCCAACCCTCCCGCAGCTCCCTGCGCCCCCCAAAATCCCCCCTCCTACCCATGCAGAAAAACCCTTGATGGGATCAAGAGGGGGACGGGATCACCCTGGGCCACCCCAGCAGAAGCTGGGGTGCTGCTGGGTGCTCTTTGCATGGGCGGCTCAGCCCCGACAGCTTGCACCCAAACCGTGGCATGTGAACATCCTTGTCCCAGCATGGAGGAGGCAGGGAAAGCCAGGACCCCACGGTGGAGACATTGCTCTCTCCAGGGCTCCTTCACAGCCCCGAGCCCCTATAGAGATCCCACAGCCCCTGCAGAGACCCCATATGACCAGGAACAGGACAAATACTCAGGATAGGATTGGCACGGGCTAAAACCACTCCAAAACACGCATTTTTCATGGAGGAAAATGCATTTACCTACTCTAGGACCCTCAAATCAGAAACTAAAGGAAATCCGAGACTTTTTCAGACCATGAGACACAACCCATCGCTCCTTCCTGCGGCCAGATGCAAGGTGATGGGCTGCCTCCAGCTGAACCAGGTGACCCCAGATCATTTATATGGCACAAATCCAGCAAGCAGGTGGGAGCGGCCGCAATTGCCCTGCTCAGGAATTGGGAGGAAATGTTCATTATCTGATCGCCCTGGATCTGCACACAAAGATTGTGCCCATAAATCGGAGGGGGGGGGGGGGGCAGCCCCAGGTGCCAGAACTGCGAGTATTGCACCAGGGTTGGAAATGGGATCTCCAGCGCCAGGAACGGGATCGCAGCATTAGGGAATGGGGTGGGGCCAGAGGGGAACATCGCCTGCAAGCCACCAAGGGGGATGCAGGAGCACTTCATGTCCTCAACTGTCACATGAGCCCCCCCAGACGTTCTTCAGGGGACAGTCGTGGGCAGGAACACCCTGAGCATCTCCTGCTGTCAGTGATGATGATGGTGGTGGTGATGCCCAAGAGGCTGTTAGCCCAAAACCCGCCCCGCAGCGATGCATGGAAACAGGACTGTGGGTTTGGGGGGGATGTTTTTAGGGGAGGGGGAAGAGGTGCAGGCGTCTCCTTAAACAACAGCCCCTGGCAGCGCAGGATGCGGCATCTCATGCAGTTTGGAGACAAAGGGGCTGGGGAGGAGACAGGTGGTCCCGGAGCCCCCCGGGACGGGGCTCGCAACGGCCCTAGCCAGCCCCGCAGCCGTGGCACAAAGCGGGGAGCAAAGACACCCCCCCCCTCCCCCAGCCACAGTGATGTCCCCAGCTGGCACTGAGCATCAGGGTCCAGGGAGAAGGGGGGGAATAAATAAATAAATCAAGCCTTGAAAAAATTAAATTGAAGTTAGTGGGGTCTGGGATCCCTCCAAGGACCCGGGGAGAACAGAGGCTCACAGTGAGGGCTGGACGCATGCCCGGGCTGGGGCAGGCAGGAATTAAATGCCAGCTGCCAATGGGGCCGACTGGCCGGGGGCTCGGCAGGGGCACCCCGGGAGGAGAGATGAGCTGGGCAGAGCTGCTCGTGCACCCCGATGCTTTGTACGGGGCCAGCACCCGACCTGGGCCTCAGTTTCCCTGTTTAGGGGCAGCGGGTGCCAGGCTTTGCAAGCGCAGCCCTGACCCCGGGCTGGGTGACAGGGACACAGGGCAGGGCCAGCAACCCCCCTCCCCGTGCCAACCCGCACAGCTCCCACCATCAGGGTCCCTGCTGCAAAGCTCTGGGGTGTCCCACGGAGGATGGGGATCGCTTCAAATTCACACACCCCTCCCCGCAAAAAAAAAAAAATAAAAAAAATATAAAGGCATTGCAAGCTCTGCTGTAACCACAGGCAGGAACCAAGCTCGGGCAGCGGCGCTGAACCACCCCTGTCCCGTGTCCCCCCACCTCCCCGGGTGATGGGTCACCCCGGGGGTCACAGCCCCGGCGTGGGGAGAGCCAGCGGGCAGGGACAGTGTCCCCCCACCCGCAGCGGGCAGGAGCGCTGCCTGCACCCAGCTCTCGCTTCCTTAACAGGGAAAGAGGTTTGCAAAGGGCCTCGGCTGGGCGGCCGGGCTTTAAGGTACGACCTGAATTGTTTGCAGACCAGAGAGAGAAAAAAAAGGCCGAAAAAGGCTGAAAAGCGGAAGCCGGGAGCCAGCTTTGCGGGCACGCAGGGGCAAAGGGAAGTTGAGAAATGTATAAGCCATTTCACTGCGACTTCTGATTTCAAACTTTACCCTCCCCCACCCCAAAGAGACTACTTAGTGGGGTGCAGACCCCAATATAAGCTGCAAAATTTGGAAGGGGAGGGTGCTGTACATCCTGGGGTCACCCACCTCTTTGCTCCCCCCGCTGCACGGAGCCCTCAGACCCCCCCATCCCACCAAAGCAATGCCCAAGGAGGGGATGGGGTGCAGACACCTTACCGGCAGCCGTCCCACCGAGGCCGAGCGGAGGGTCCTGAGTTGGGGGCCCTGGGGGGTGGCATAGAGACCCCCTCCCTGGGAAGTGGGGACGCTGCTGACAGCCGCCGGCGTGTAGATCTGGGTGAAGCAGGGTAACGGAGGGCTGCCCAGGCTGGAAGCCCCCCGCTTGGAAGAGCCCATCACCGACATGACCTTCTTCGGGTGGTGGTGGGGAGGGGGGGGCAGGAGGGCGGCGCCCCCCCTCCCCGAGGCGTGGGACACTCCCCTGGGGAGCCGCAGCATTGCAAAGTCCTTTCCGAGAAGCCCAGGCCGAGGGGAGGGGAGGAGGGGGGGGCAGAAGCACCCCGCGATTTTGCAGCAAGGAGGGGGGATGGGGGGGGGTGTCACAATCTCAGCAGTGGCATTTTGGGGGAGCGGGAGTTGGCGGGGATCCCGCCGGCCGCTCTCCAAACCCCCCCACCCCCGAAAAACCTGCAGAGGAACAACGCCGCGGCGGCGCCACCAAAACCGGGTGGAAAAAGCTCCTTTGGCCCCAAAAATCGCCCGCGCTCGGGCCGGATGGGGCCGGGGCAGCCGGAGCCCCCCCGCGCCCGGCTCCGCTACTGCCCGATCGCGCCCGGCCCCGACTGCTCCTTTTTTTTTTTTTTTTTTTTTCTTTTCGGTTTCTTTTTTTTTTTTTTTTTTTTTTTTTTAAGCGCCAAACGCCGTCCCGCGAAATTCGGATTTCCCGCGGAAAACGCCGCGCGCTGATTGGCTGCGGGCGCCGACGCCCCGCCCACTCCGCCGCCGCCAGCGGCGCCGCGCCGGGCGGGGCCTTAAAGGAGCCGCGCGGCGGCGGGCGGGGTCCTGCATGCAAAGCAGGGGGCGTGGCCTCTTTGGGCCAACCTGCTCCGTACATGGGGGGAGCATCTGGGTTGGGGAGGGATCACTGGATCTGGGACTGGGATCGGGACTGGGATTGATTTTTTAAATTAATTATTTATTTATTAAAGAACACACACCCCCCAATCCGGTGGGCTCCAGCCTGGGGGCTGTGACACCTCCCCGTCCCCATCGTCCCCCCCCTCCATCCCCATCTGCAGCGACTCAGGGTGCAGGGAGGGGTTTGCATCTATTTGGGAAACAGAACATTTTGGGGCCCTCCAGCCAGAGGCTGGCAGCAGCCCCCCACCCCTCCACGCCCGCAGGCAGGGAGCGGGCAGGGGTCAGTGCTGTTTTTTGGGGGGCAGGGACCTCAGCAGGACTCTGTGTGAGCAGATTTGGCCCCCGGTTCACTCAATGCAGTTCACCCAACCTGCCACCCACTGTCCCCAGTCCTGACCATCAGCCACCACGTCTCCTTGGGGTGCACCAGGTTTTTCTGGCAAAGGGGAAGGAGAAAGAGGGGGTGAGGGCTCCCCGTTTGGCCCACGGGGTATTTCAGGGTGTGACTGTGGCAGAAAGCACAGAGGCAATGGCAAATTGCTGAGTGGCGGCAACTCTGAGACTTACTGGGACCAGTAAAAGGCCACCACAGACACTGAGCTGAGCTGAGCTACAGTTTAATCCTGCCACCGAGCCACAGCAGTTGGTTCCTCTCCAGCCCCTGGTTGCCCTCCATCAGTTCTTTCCACGTCTCCATCGTTCTCCTCTCCAGCATAAGGCAACTTCATGTCCAGGTCCATAATGGGGATGGTCAGGTGCAGAGATGGACTTTCTTGCAAAACAGCCTGCCAGAAGACAGACAGACAGATGGACAAACACACACCAGCGCTGGGGCCTCTGCTGTGGATAAGGATGGACACCAGACCTCCAGACCCCAACACAGCTTGAAGGGGGGGGGGGGATGACACCCAAAAATTTGCCAGGCGCTTCTGATCCAGGACTGACATTTGCCTCCCACCGTGCAAGGGCTTTGAGGCAGAACAAAAAGCCTGGCAGCAGTAAAGCCACCGCGCTGCTGGGCACCGGGTCCCTGTGCCAGGAGCACGGCAGAGCTTGGCAGCTCAACCCACCCAGGCCTTCATCTTCCTCCCTATGGGGAGAAGGCAACTGCTGTCTCCATTTCAGCGCACAAAGACAACACCGTGCCCGGCAGGGTGGATAAATCGGCGTCGCTTGGCTGCCTTGGTCTGGCTTCAGCTGGGTGTCCCTTGGGACAGGGACATCAGGGTACAGGGAGGGCCTGGGTTCTGGGGGCTCAGGCTGGCAGGCTGTGCCCCTACCTCCTCCAGTTTGGACAAAGGGGTGATGATGTCCCCATACACCATCAATGTGACCTCGCTGGGGTAAGGGCTGTCTAAGAAGGTGGTGTAGAAAAGCTGCTGAATGAGCCACACAACTCAGTGGCCCTCACCTCCTTGCCTATGCTAGGAGGCACAGCCAAGGGAGGAGTTAGGAGCATCATTTCCCCCCCCCCCCAGTACCTAATATCTGCTCAATAAGCCTTCTCCAGGCTTTCCAGCCATGGCTTCCCACCAGCAAAGTCCTCTCACATGCCAGAAGCCACAGGCTGATACCTCCCTGTGACACCAATGCCTCCAGATGGGTGACAGCCACCAGCTTCCACCCCCCAACCCAAAAGGGGTAGCTCTCTCTGGAGAGGTTTTGCCTTGGTTGATGGGCTGATTCCACCCCATCCACCCTATGACTAAGCCAGAAAAAAGGGTTTGCAGCAGGTCTTACATGCTGAACTCCTCAGGGATCTGTTTCTACTCTCTGATGTTCTCCTTGCTGCTTTCCAAGAGGTGTTGGACTTCATGCAAGACCTCCTCGCTCAGCTTGCCCAACTTGCTGTAGGTCCTGGGAGATGTCCACGGAGACCCCGTCCCCCATCACCTTTGGGCTAAGCTGAGGGTCTGTGTTGGCTTCTCTGCCGTCTAGCTGAAAGGGTTAACCCGGTGATGTGGCTATGTCTTCTTCTCCACCAGCTGCATGCAGGGACCAACCCTTGTCATCAAACAAGCCAAGCCCAGAGTTCAGCACTGCAGAGATGGAAATCCCGGCCTTTAAATGCTGATGGTGGGTGCAAAGTGCAGGTCTCTGCTACAGCCAGCTTGAAACTGCTGAAAAATCTCCACTTCTAGCCTCCTCCCCCCCTCCCACAGATGTTTTCTGTAAGAAACACCCAGTTTAACAAAATTCTCCTGGCTTTTGTCTGGGGAGGAAGAACCATGCAGTTCTTTTCCACCCAGGCCATCTCTAGAGGGGACCACCAAGACGCGGCCCTTTCAGGGGTGGGTTTGACAGATGCTTTCTGCCCATCCTTGCCCACAGAGCCGGCCTGCCCTGGGTGCTCGGTCCTGGCTGGGCTCCTGCTCCCTCTGCTCCTCCCTGGCGTGGGTGAACAGGGATTCCCACAGGCTGGATGTCCCCACAGCCACCAGCAGGTTGGCACTGAGAAAGTCCTCACTCATGATGAAGATGATGAAGTAAATGGCCGCCATCGTCTTCAGAGTCTGCCCTTCTTCCTTGTTGGGGACAGGGACCATCTGGTTGACAGTTGGTGGTGGCCACCTCCCCTGGCACCAAGCCCCAAGGGAGCCTCTCAGCCTCTGTGGGAATGGAGCCCACCCATGTGCCCCACATCCCTCCAGGGTGGGGGGACATGGCTCAGCCCCAGCCATCCCCACGCCCCCGCCCCGTGGTGGGCTCACACCCTGCTGCGTGCTCACTGGAAGGCCTCGTAGATGTCCAGCCAGGCATCCAGTTTGATGCTAGTGAAGAGCGAATCCCCCAGGTCACCAAAATGGGCTGGGACAGACTTACCAAACAGGATGATGCCCAGCACCAAGGTCTGCATGGAGACAGTGATGGGGTGTCCCAGCACCTTCCCCATGCTGGAAAGGATGCTCAGCAGCCTTCAAGCCCCAGAACTGGGGCTCCAGGGCACGAGCAGGGTCTGGCCAAGCTCCTCAACCTCAGTGCTGGGAGCTCAAAACCCCCCTCCAGCATCCTGGAACCTGCTGGGGAGGTGGGATGAACCAACGTGGTGGGAAAGGACCATCCTTCTACTGGCTCTGTGTCTGCTGTCCCCATGGTCCCCAAGGTGCCATGGCCAGTGCTGGACCCCATTGGCCAAGGCAAACCCCAAAGCGATGCTCCCAGTCCAAGAGGACATTTCCCAGCTGTTTTACCAGCATGGAGATAAAGAAGATGAACACGATGTTGCAGAGGTCAGGGATGACCTCGAGGATGGCCTGAAACATCCTGGCCAGCCCCTTGACTAGCCTGCAGACCTGCAGCAACTTCACCACCCCGGGGCAAGGCGAGAGATCCCACCACTGCACTGAGCACGGTGGGAAAAGGAGACCTGGGTCCCCTCCCGGCCTCTCCCCTGAGGGTGTGGGGAGGGTCTCCACTGCACCCCCAAACCAGCATAAAAAAAGTGAGGGTGAAGAGCAACCGATGACGTTGCCTTTCCCAGTGCAAACCCAGCATGTGGGATGGGGGTACCACGCCTGGGCCACGGCATCTCTGCTCAGACCAACATGGGGATACCAGAGGCTTTGGGGTACAGCACCCCCAACCCCTGCCCTCGCTCACCTCAGGATCTGGAAAATCTTCTGGATGTTTGGCTTGGGGGTCAGGGGCCTCACCATGAGGCAGACCAAGAGGAAGAAGCTGAAGGTGTTCCAGCTGCATTTGTGGACCCCAAATGAGGGCCCTTCCCCTAACATTCCTCCCCCAGCAACACCCACAGGGCAGAGGGGGGCTGGCAAGGGGTCCATGTGCCCCATGGCTCTGCCCGGGCGGGGCACAACCAGCCTGGTAGCAGGTGATGGGCCACCAGATAAACACAGGTGGCCAGCAGTCACAGCAGCCCCGATGCCAAACACCCCTGCGCCTGGGGTGGGGACACTGGAGGTCCTGCTTCTTGCTGGGGAGCACCAGAGGCGGTTCTGGTGCTTGCCGGGGGACACCGGAGAAGGTCCCAGTCTCTGCCAAAGGGGGGGTACCTAAGGAGGTCCTGATCCTTGCGGGGGGGCCACAGAAGAGGTCCTGCTCCTTGACGGGGGGGGCACATAAGGAGGTCCCACTCCTTGCCGAGGGGGGCACCGGAGGAGGTCCCGCTCCTTGCCGGGGGGGGCACCGGAGGAGGTCCCGCTCCTTGCCGGGGGGGAGCCCCCCAGCCCGGCTGCCGGCAGCGCGGCGGGGCCGGCGCTGAGCCGGGCTCTTCCTCCTCTCCCCTGGAGACGGCAGCAGCGAGCCACGGCTGCGGGGCCCGCCCAGCCCCGGCCCCCCCCCGCCGGCCTCCTCCGGGTCCCCCGCGATCCCCCCCCCCCCCGAGCCCTCCCGGGCCGCCGCAGCCGGAGCCGATGAGGGACCGTGGGATGGAGAGATGCGGGGATGGATGGACACGGGGAAGGAGGGATGGAGGGACGAAGGGACACTGGAGCACAGGGACAGAGAGATGGAGGAGGGATATGAGGACAGAGGGATGGAGGGACACAGTTGGAGGGATGGAGTGATGGAGGGACTTAGGGACAGGAGGATGCAGGGAACGAGGGATGCAGGAAGGGAGACAGGGAGACAAAGAGATGGAGGGATGAGGGACTCAGGGATGGAGGGATACAGGGATGGAGAGATGCTGAAGGCCTCCAGCCTGGCTCGCTGCAGGTCCCACCTTCCCGTACAGCCAGAATCCTCGGAGCCAGTTGAGCA